GCAGACACACATGCAGCTGCTCCTTCCACCCTCTCCCCCCCCAGCTCTTTGCCTCCTACCCGCTCGTAACGTCCCTTTTTTACTTTCTCAAAACTAGGCAATTCAAAAGGAGAAAATGCAGCAAACTGGCTCACGGCAAAAAGTGGCAGAAAGAAACGGTGCCCCTATACCAAGCATCAAACTCTCGAGCTGGAAAAGGAGTTTCTATTCAATATGTACCTGACTCGTGAGCGTCGCCTAGAGATCAGCCGCACAGTCCACCTCACAGACAGACAAGTTAAAATCTGGTTTCAGAACCGCAGAATGAAACTGAAGAAAATGAACAGAGAGAATAGGATTCGGGAGCTCACAGCCAACTTTAATTTCTCTTGATGAACCTATAAACACATCTTTATGGTTTAAAGAGCCAGTATCATTTTCCTAGGCTGTAGTCATCCGCACCTGTATGGATTAACGATTTTTAGACGTTCTCGATATGTCCTTAACCTCTTAAGAGCTACTTTGGCGTGGGGTGGGGGGGCGGACTAAAGCCACGCTAGTGCACAAAATGCCGTGCGTGAACCTCCCCGCTTCCTTCAGCCGTCCTCGGGGCCGGTTTGTTCCTTTAAGCTTTGAAACCCAGAAATCCTGTTTCAGGAGCTGCAAATATCTTTCCCCCCATATCTCTCTCTGAAAAGTAAACAAGCTCGGTTAAAGGCGCATTCTTTTAAATTATAAGCGGTGTTACTTGGACTGTACATAGCTGCAGAATGAAGAATTTAAGCCTCGCCATATTTCTACATATTGGGAGCTTTTCCCCCCTCTGTTTTCCTTTTGTCCCCCCTCCCCCTTTTTCCTTCGAAAAGCAGGACTTACAATAATGAAATGCAGGCATCCTTTAAAAGGGCGTAATGGGAACGGGTGTTAAGAGCGATTCTTTTTTTGCTTTACCTTAAGAGTCAATATTACAGCTTTAAAATTGGCCAGGAAAATGAAAACTCTTCTCTTTAAAGGTATAAAAGAGTTCGTGTTGCTCATGGACTAAATTATGACACTTACCTCTGAATTTCTCTCGCTCTTTCTGGTTGTAGATATTTACTTAATGTAGTTTTGCTTAAATATGTGGAATTAGTGATTTTATTTGTCTATAAATAACGTTACCGTTGGTAACGCATGACAAGCACACAGAAATTCCCCCCGAGAAGAAAGTATTCACTTTTTCCTCACTAATTTCACTGAAAAGTATATATCCTGAACGTCAGAAGGACTTTCTGAGCCAGAGTCTGAGATTGCGAGGGAGAATATGTTCGTCTTCCTTTATACTGTGAAGTTACATGCATTAAAGGGTCAAACATATAGGTGAAAAAATTAAAAAAGAGAAAAAAAAGAAAGAAGGGGAAAAACTATAAATACAGATATGTATAAATGTCTATTATTATTAAAATGCCGATACTGTTTTAAGCAAATGCATTCTATCGTTATTATAAATGTTAGTTCTAGCTATATCTAGTTCTTACCTTAAATCGGAATAAATTAATATTGTAATGCTGCTGTGCGTGAAAAAGACGATGTTTATGTTCTCATAGAAGAATAAAAAACCGTGGAATGAATCCTTTTAATTTTACCTCTTTTTGTGACTGTTTATCCTCAGGTTCTACTTTATGTCTTCGAGAACTTTTACAACAGGAATAGTTGCCTAAACCCCCTGCAATTACTTTAGGAATCTATTTAAATATTACCTAGACGGTCGTAATTTGTCTGGGCCATATAGCGATGGTGCTCTAAGGTTTGTCGGCTTTTGTTCAGTTTTATGACTTGCTAGTATATCTGGATTGTTGCTGTCTTGAACGAGTGGTTTCAGTTGACTGAGGAGCTGCATAGACTGAGGAAGCAAATTACTATTTCTTGAGGGTAGGGAAACGATTTTTTTTTTTTTTTTTAAAATCAAACACCTACAAGTGCGCGGAGATCTTTAACTCCAGAGGACGGTGACAAAACTCTAGCTTTATCTCAGGGCTGAGAAGAAATCGTAAAGGTGAGCGCATGGGGAGGGGGGGACGTCAGCCTCGCCTCCCTGCCAGCGGACCCCTCCAGACAAGGCCATTCCCTACCTGGCTGCATGTGGAAGAGCTTATTTCACCCAGGCTGCTTTTTCTGCATCCCCCCTTCCTTGCTGCATGTTTAGCTACTGGAGTCTTGCACAAAGGGGAGGCAAAAGGAGGGCTGGGAGAAGAGCGACAGCTAATGCTTCCTTGCAGGGTATGTGTATGGCGGGAGGAGGGGGACAGACTTTGAACCCGGGCTTCCTGGGAGCCGTTAGCTTTTCGTGATGTAACATTGTCGTGCACGGCCTTTTTCTTCCCGATTGCATCTGCATGGAGAGGCGAAAGCTGCCCGTGGGGGAGGTTGTTATTATATTTCTCTCTTGTCTCCATTAAC